AAGGAAATTACAAATCCAAAAGGCAACAATGGAACGGCAGAAAATATTTGCAAATCATATATCTGATAAGAGGTTCATAGCCAAAACATATAAAGAACTCATACAACTGAATAGCAAAAGACCAAATAATCCAAATCAAAATTGGGCAGAGGAACTAAATGGACATTTTCCCAAAAAAGACATACAAATGGCCCACAGATACAAGAAAGGGTGCTCAGCGTCACCAATCATCAGGGAAATGCAAATGAAAACCACAATGAGATGTGACCTCACGCCTGTAAGGATGGCTGTCGTCGAAAAGGCAAGAGACAACACTGTCGGCGAGGACGAGGAGAAAAGGGAACCCTGGGGCACTGCTGGCGGGAATGAATGTAAACTGGTGCAGACAGTATGGCAAAGAGTATGGTGGCTCCTCCAAAAATTAAAACCAGAACTGCCATACAATCCAGCAATCCCACTGCCGGGTGTGTATCCAAAAGATACACAAGCAGGATCTCACATATAATCTGCAGCCCCGCGTTCACTGCAGCGTTACTCACCCCAGCCCAGACATGGAAACAAACTACACGTCTGTCAAAACATGAATGGACGAAGGTGTGATGTATATACAGCAGACCATTATTCAGCCATGGGAAAGAATGACACCCTGCCATCTGCAGCAACGTGGACGGGACCTGAGGACATTATGCTCAGTGAAGTAAGTCAGACAGAAGGACAGAGACTGTATGATATCACTCACAAGTGGAATCTAAAAAATCCAAACTCGTAGACACAGAGAGTAGGATGGTGGTTCCCAGGGACTAGGGAATGGGGGGCAAGGTCGGAGAGTATAAACTTCCAGTTGTAAGATGAGTAAGTTCTTGGGATCTAATGTAACTATAATCATTATGGTTAATAATACTGTATTACATACTTGAAAGTTGCTAAGAGAGTAGATCTTAAACGTTCTCACCACAAAAAAGAAATGGTAATGATGTGAGGTGATGTAGGTGTTAGTTGATGCTATGGTGGTAATTACTTTACAGGATAAAGTGTCTCAAAATGTTGCAGACCTCAAATTTACAACATGTTACATGTGAATGACATCTCATAAAGCTGGACAAAATTAAAAAAAACAAAATGTACAAATAATGTATATAAAGCTTATAAATACTGTTAATAAAGCCGGCTAGAGACTTAGCACAGTGCCTGGCAACGAGTGCATTCTTACTTGACACACGGTGACTATTATTCTTCATCTATGTTCCCATGGCAACGAACAAGGATTCTAGTAAAGCACCAGGACTGCTGCAAACATTTGTATCTTTCACTAAACTTCAGCACCTGGAGGGAAGGGGTTGCGCTAACTTCACTTTTGTATTTCCAGCACCTATTTGTATCCAGGGCACATGGCTGTGCTTAACTGTATGTGGTGTGAATACACAGTCATCAGAAACCTGCCTGTTTCCTGGGAACCAAAATCTGTCGCTGTGGCCGAGAATTTTGGTATCTCAATATCCAAAGTCTATTTCTAAGACTTCCTCTCCCAACAAAAGGGAGAATATAAAGATTTCTGGCCCAATCATGCTGATTTCT